GGGTTGATGGGGGGTGGGTGGGAGGGGAGGGTGGTTGATGGGTAGTGAGGAGGGCACCTTTTGGGATGAGCACGGGGTGTTGTATGGGAACCAATTGGACAATAAATTTCATATATTGAAAAAAAAAAGAAAAAAAAAACAACTCAAGTTCTCACACTCAGGCCCGTATTACAATGTTTGAAATACACACACATACACACACATATGCACACACACACACCCTTCCCTTATCTTTCCATTATTTGAAGGGAGTCCAACCTAGCAGACTTTGGCCAATATGGTAAAACACAAATAGGGTTTTTAAAAAGGGGTAAAGGGGGATGGGAGTATATAGCTCTATAGGTAGATGACTGTAAAATGTTGAAATCTAACATAAAGCTTACCTAGGAACTATAATTCTATAATTTCTGGGCTCAGTAACCCTTCTCCTATCGTTTGAACTGAAAAAACAAAGCAGTTGGTTTCAGGACTTAATTATTAGCAAGATTACCAGACTAAATGTCAAAGATGCATTATGCTCTTTAGAAGACAGATGTCTTTACAAATCAAGGGCCATGCTGTACACGGGCACCAAGGGACTATCCCATATGAGGAGGAAACTAATCCATTGATTATAGACCCAACACAAAACAATCCGTAATTATAGACGTTTTTGTTAATGCCGCCCTTCTGTCTCTGACATTCACCTATGCACTTTCCCATTTAAACTCCAGCTGTCCCCATTATTTCTAGCCCAAAAATCTTTATACCATCCTTTTCCACGGTAAGCATGGCTAAGATGGATTAATTGAAGCATGCAATCTGATTAGTTAACAGGGAGGCTGATTGTCCTGTTTATAACTAATGTGTGCTACACGGCTAGTTTGAGACCCAAATTGGGGTTGCAGGAAATCCTCCCACACTTATGCTCACAATTTCAATATAACCAACTTATTTTAAGCAGGTGCTATGTGCCAGCCACCCTGGGAATTCAGGATACAAAGATAAACTGGGACACAGGAGAAACAAGACAATAGAGAAATAAAGTTTACTTGAATAAATTCAATCAAGAGCATAATTTACCCCTGCAAGAGCCTCTGAAGGTTTTTTTTTAAAAAACAAACAAACTAGACACCTGTATGTTGAAATTAAAAGGAAGGACACTGAGGTGTCTGGCCGGCTCAGTCAGAAGAGCATGCCACTCTTGATCTCAGGGTCCTTGTGCTATTTTGTTGCACGTGAGACTATCCGTGTGGTTTACCTATTTATTAGCACTCATAATCCACATCTTTGATTTGACCAAAACAACAGAGAAAGAAAACTCACACACGACACACGTGTGCCTCTGAAGTCTTGTAATATGATGGACTTAACATCCAAACACTTCACGAAGGAAAAAATAAAAATGAAGTCTTATTTCAACCGGCGCATCCACAGTTCTTGGCTTCTCACTGCGGAGCTGCAAGATGTCCCTGAATAAGATCCTGAACACGGGACAGAATAATCTCATTAGAACTGCTGCAATTTTCGGGGCCATACGGGGGGTCTATCGTCAGCACCCCGGCCACACACAGAGTCCGTTGTGAATCTCCCTGTTCAGTGATGGGAATGTGGTTCTTCTCCAGCCATTTCTTGAGGCTGTTCTTCCTCTTCTCCAGGTCCTCAGGGCTGTATGCCTTGCAGTCTCCAGACATGAACAAATGTGCCAGCTTCTCTCTCACTCCATGGTCCCCTTCGTTCACAGTTTCAACAGTCTGCACGGCATGGCCCATAATTCCAGTCACAGATATGCTGCCATCTTCTAGGAAGTTCACGAGGACGATACTTTGGAGGAAAAGTAAGTTCACAGCAGATATGTAAAAGAAAAACCTAAAGTCTCATAAATCTATGGAAGAAGCAGTGGAATGAGAGGCATCACCAGCCCCAACAGGTAATGAAACCAGGGAAGAAGGACTTCCCTGTTTTGTTTTGTTTTTTTTAATTTTAACGTTTATTTATTACTGAGAGGCAGAGAGAGCGAACAAGCAGGGGAGGGGCAGAGAGAGGAGGAGATACAGAATCTGAAGCAGGCTCCAGCCTCTGAGCTGTCAGGACAGAGCCTGACGTGGGGCTTGAACTCACAAACCATGAGATCGCGACCTGAGTCGAAGTCGAACACTCAACCGACTGAGCCACCCAGGCGCCCCA